AATGTCGCTGGGCGTTCAGCGAATGGGAATGTGCGATGGCGCAACTGACAGGCCAATCACGAACCAAGGAATGCTAATTGGCCCTCTCCGGTGGCGGCTTCCCCGCTCCGAAGGGTCCCCTCGTGCGGTGCGTTTTCGCATTCTTCGAAATCCCCGTGCTCCCAACGGTGAGAACGAAACCGAGACCGTCGCCCGCCCGTCGGTGAGCGGCATTGCATTGCCTAGGCTGTGGCTGACTAACATTTCCAGAATCGCCGTGAGCCTCGGCAGGCAATTGGCCGTCCGTAATTGTCATTTTCGACGGTCGAGATGCTCAATACGCTTCTTGTGTCGTGCTGGGCCCCTTCCGACGCAGCGTTCGTTAGAGATTTTTATTCCCTGCCAATTACCTCATGCAGCGAGTGGCACCAATCAGCCGCTGGCAGGATCTTGTCCCAACCCCGAGATGGGCCGAGGATCTCCGCGGGTGGCCGTGGATCCGTTTGTCCTCCGTTTCTCTTCCGGCCACAAACAACGTTCACCGGTCGAAACGGCCAGCACAAGGCCCGTCACCGGCAGCTGTGAGCACCGGTGATGCCGGAGCGGAGCCGAGTCCAGCACTTTTCTTTTTCCAAATTTGGCAATAACAAGCAGCCGACTACGATAATGAGAACGGTTTCCATTTTCAGAATCTGCTACATAATTCCTGCTGCACCAGCTGACGCATTCCAAGACGCACACAACATCTGACCACTTCGCCGTTCGGGGCTTTTCTCTCATCAAACGTGTAATTCAGATACCTCGATTTACGTAGCCAAGTATCGCCAACATCTCCCTTGCCAGTTTAAATCTATACTTTTTCATCTACTCTGCCCAATATCAAGATGTGATCTCGATGCAATCACACCACTTATGAGACGTCCAACTTCGGTCCTTGCAAGCGAGCCTACCGCCGGCCCGAGGACTTTGAAGAATGATTCTCAGTAATCCTATTTTCTTGGTTTTCCCAGTTCGCCATCAGCCATGGCGTCCTGTCTTGGATCGATCTCCATATCAGCCACGATATCTCGCAAGTTCCCGCAAACCGTTCCATGCTCTTCCCCAGAATCCTGCTCAGCTCTGATGTTATTGCTGATGCGAACACTTCATCTCTTCTGAGCCCTTTGTGGTGTTCATGGGCTGAAAAACCTGAAAGATGCTTCCAGCAGGCACCGCCAAGTGACTACAATGGCAGCCTCTGAACTTCCAAGAACCACCCGAGTAAGCCCCTTCACGCTGGTCAAAGCCTCTCTGCCTGTTCCACGTTCTCTCATGTAAACTGCGGCTTAGACACCCTCAAGCCGCAGTTGCTGAAGGATCATGAAGCGGAACCCCCCGGTGCCTTGAGTGGATGCAATAGGCTGGTGCAGGTCTCCGCTATGTGTTCTTGCCTCGGAAGCTGCCCAAACATTGGTCGAAACAGAGGGCTTCGAGGCTAGAAACAGGAAGCCACGGACGGCAGCTTGGTGTTTATCAGAGGCAAGACCGAGCCTGCCCTCGAAGAATTCATTCGGACGAAGGTCAGGTGCCCCAGACCAAGCGAGGCGGCCTCGCTTCCTTTTTTTCCCCTTCGCCTCCTCCCCCACGACGCACGCGTTGATTCCTGCGCAACAACCCTTCTCTTCTGCGGGCTCGCAGACAACAACACCGTCAGCTTGTCACCAGCTTGGCGGCAGCTGGCTCTCGGAGATCCTTGCGCTCGATTTCAATTATCCAACAGGTTCGTCTTGGAGAAATTGTTGTTTGTGGATACTCGTTGCTGATGAGAAAGACTTTTCCAAGAAAGTTGCGCAATCCTATGGTCTCGGTCACCTAGGATTCACAACGCCGACCTAGCCGTTCTCTCACCCCTTGTCGATGACCTCGAGCTTCGCTATTCCCTTCTGATTCTCTCTGTCCTTCACCTTTCCTCTGGGCGATTATCGCCCTGTCCACTCCTTCCTACAGACTTGACGCTCGTCGTCTTCATGTACAATGAAGAAAAAGTCGATGAGCACCCTCGCCTCTCTGGCGCCTCGGCGTCGGGATAGAGGCAACAATACCAACAGAGACCAGGCTCACGAGCCTCAAGGTATGAAAACACACATTTGCGTGGTATACACCGGCTGACAATTTTCGCCAGAGGTCTCTACCCCATCAGTGCCTATGCCCGTCGTGGATGCGACCCCGACAGACCGCCATGCTGTGCAGACCCCAGGCACCGACGCAACTGTCGACCGACTAGCCAGTGCTCTCCTTGAGAGTACCATCTACAATCATCCGAACGGCCTTGCCAGTCATCCATCCGTTCTCCTTTGCAATATCGAGCCACTTGGCACTGTTCCCGCAACTCCCGCCGAGAACTTCGACATGGATACTGAGCCGCGTGGCAGATCTCTCGCTCGTTCGGCAGAGCCAGGCGGTCCTTTCACCCGGTCACGTCTTCAGGCGTCAAAGACCATGAACGTGGCTCCTGATATCCCCCGAAAGTCATCCCGCAGAAGAGCTCAGCGAGTCCACATTGCCAATGACGACCCAGAGATTGTGCAACCAGTGCCTAGGCGCCCCTTTCCCCAGTCAAGAACAACTATACTCGACACTGGCAGAAAGCGGGATGGCTTCATCGCTGGATCCACGACGGCACCTCTGGGAGGACTCGCCAATCAGGCCGATTTGTTGACTCTCAACACGTACCCTAATAACGCCGACCCTCATGTCATCAATAACAAGATCGATGCGATGCTGGCGGCTACCAGAAGTTTGAAGCCCCCTGGTTCCGAGCGTACGCCAAAGACGTCTCGCTTTCGCCCCAAGAACATGATGTCAAAGGTTCGCAAGGCCTTCGATGTGTTCCAAGCGAAGCCTGCTACCCCGGAATCCAAGATTCGTGGCAAAATATCGTTGCCTATTGGCCAGGTCAAATGTGATCTCCCAAACCCGGCCAAGCAATTTCATGTCGAGCAGCCGTCCCCTGTGCGGTCGTCCCCTGGACAGCCGTCCCCAGTCAGCTCGATGGAGATCCGCGTCAACGAGGGGCTTAACCTCAACAAAGAAAAGCCCAGAAGTATGGTTGGAGGCCGCATCCTTCGCAAGAAGATTCATGACGATGGCAAATCGCTGCGTAGTGGTGGTTCGAACTCCCCAGAGGACCCGTTCTCGGAGCCGCGCGGGCTTGTTCGCACGCCTACGCCTTTTGAGCATCAGCTAAAGGTCAGCACGGATTCGACCTTACCTCCCGTGCCACCGGTTCCATCCATCAACCCATTCGACTCGGAAAACGATGATCTCGAAGGCTTTTTGTCCGAGAAACCCGCATGCGCCTCGACCCCGCGCAACAGAAGCAACAAGCAGCCTGTTCCGGTCGAGAGTCCCTCCACTCGGTACACAAATGCCGGTAATCCCCAAGTCAACACTGTTCTCCTGGGTGAGAGTTCCAATGGTGAGGGCTCCAGCAGCAGCTTTGGCCAGCGTAAGCTCAACTTTGAGGGAGTTCAGCTTCGCCGCAGCAACAACAGGTTGAATAAGAAGCATCCTTCGCCTACCAAGGAGGATATGACGGATATGCCGGCTCGTTTTCGGGAGTATACCATCGTTCAGATCAACAACGCTCCTTCCGACAAGCGCGACGAATTGGTGAGAGACTTCTCTGATCTCATCGGACCTAGCGCACTCACCCCGCGCGACAAGAATATTCCGATCAAGACCCGTTCTGTTCATAAGGATACCTTCGACGACGTCAGCAATCTTACCGACCGCCAGCATACCCGCGAGTCTTCCGTTCTGTCGAACAAGCAGTCTCGGATCCCTCGTCCTGTCGAGCCGTCCTCCACGCTTCCGACTCGTCGCTTTGGCCCTCAGCGCCAGCCCGCGAACCTGAGCGCGCTGGAAGTGGACGAGTTGCAGTAGGACGTAACGATTTACCCTTCTCGTCGTTCGTGAAAAGCTGCCAAACGCTTTTTGAAAAGAGATTGTTTTGCGATCTGGTTTTCTCAGCCACCAGCTGGGTGGTTAGCGGCAGAAAATTCTCGGTTTCTTTGTCGCTTTCATTCTAGAAAGCACCTTGCCACGATTGTGGTTCCTATAACAACACTCAACGTGGACAGCAATTTTCTCTACCACGACTGCCCTGATCTATCAGGCACGACATTCCTTCGCACGTTTGCGGTCAGCTATTACCATTTTGCTGCTGCCTCACGGCCTGTTGAGTACTGGAGTGGCATCAATAACCAATGCATCTAGCTATGGTTAACGCCCACCTCCTAACAAATTTGTGTAAGTGGCCAGCATCCGCCTCAGTAGTGTTGATTTCAATAACTGACACTTGGCAGCTAAAGCAAAAAAAAAAACCGATTTGATGCCTTGCGCAGCACTTCGCGCCATTTCCTATGTCATTGGAACGCGATAACCCTTTTGTTATCACAGACAAGATTGAGCAAGACAGCATAGCCTTAATGCAAGTCCTGCGCCCTTTTCAGGTCCAGGCACCTGGCACTTGCCCGCCTTGTTAATTGCGTATTTTTGCGGCTTCTCTTCTCTACCAGATTGTCTCTTCATGCTCAGGAACGGGCGTGCAAATGCGGAAACCTTGAGAGCAGGTTTCATTGGACAAGGGTCATGAATCGGTTAGCTGAAAGGGATAGGTCAGCGAACGGCATGCAAGTGGTGGACTTGGAGTTTCTCTGGAAAGGCACAGGTTCATGGGGGATCACAGGATGGTTTAGTAGCGGATAATTTCTCTCTGGGTCGGACATTGTTCAGACCGATCAAGACAAGTCCTTTCTCCGTATAATTGTTCTCAATTGTTGTACAGTGTCTAAATTGCCATGCTGATGTGGTAATACAGACGTGGTATCTTCAAACCAACTCGCTCGTCTTAAATAATAGTACAATTGTAGTATTCATAATCCTGCTCAATCCTTCTCGAGGATTCGAGCCGTCTCATCATCATGATCCGTTACAAATAAAATGCTTTGTGGTATCGTAGTACAGTAGGCGGCCTACATCTAGTAGCGGTAGCGGCGGTGGGAACCTCGGCCGTCAGTGCCGTGCATGCGGCGAGTGCCAGCGGCCTTCTGGCCGGGGCGACGGGTCAGGGTACCCTTGAGCTTGAGCATGGCGCCCGAAATTTTGTCGCCCATGGAGGGCTTGCGGCGCTGGTGGTGGACGGGGGCCGTGGTCACGGCGCCGTGGCGGCGGGAGAAGAGGCCGCCGCGCTTGCGGGTGGTAGTTGTGGTAGTGGTGTGGTGGTGGTGGGTGCGAGCCGGGGCGCGGCGACGAGTGAAGAGGCCGCCGCGGCGGGGGGCGGTGGTGGTGGTGTGGCGGGTGGATCTGAGAGGCATGTTGGGTGGTTTGTTTGTTTGTAGATTTGTAGAAGTAGTGTGTTTGTTTGGGAGACTTGAGAGTCTGAAGCTTTGATTGCAGAGTTGGTTGGTAGGTTTGTTTGTTTGGTAGCTGATGCTGATGAAGAATGGGAGATGGCTGATCGGGGAGTGGATGGTTGGTTTATATGCTTTTCTGTCGAGGTTGCGATAAGGCTGGGAGCTCTTTGGGAAAGTTGGAGCTTAGCTTGAGGACGATGGATGGCATCATCAGAGGCACGGCGTGGACATGGGTGGTTTAGGATCAGGGTCCGGAGGATGATGTCAAAAATGCTGGGGATCTACGGGCAGCTTCTACGTGTGTTTCAAACGCTGGAGGGTGGGCTACGACATTGTGGGCGAACTAGTTTGTTCGTTTGGATTCTTGGGAGGGGGAGGGGTTACGCGGTATGCGTGAAGGGTCTCAGAAACCTGCGTCTTGGTCTCCGCTTGGGTTTGTCTCTTGCTCTCCCTCTGACGAAGAGTGATGGAGGAGGCGGCGGGGTGGTTGGACCCTGAATGTGACGTCCCTTGCAGAGTCTGGGTGACGAGAATGTCATCCTTTGGGTCATGGACCAGGGTCGGAGGAGATTCTTACGTAGGGGTGGTTTGTACGTATGTGCGAAAGCCACAGCAGGCTGGAGTAAAAAAGGCAGCTGAGCACATCTTGGATGGGAAAGTGAGGTCAAAGATGCGCAACCCCGGTGAGGTCCAGAACGGTCCCCAGAAAACGGTCGGCTGCAAAAAACAAGTTTGAGAGGGTCCTGTGGCTGGTGACGTAGCGGGTGCGAGGAGGGAAGCGATCCTACTGGGTTGAGCCTCATACCCCTGCCTTCGTGGCTCGGATCAGGCGTTTGTGCAATGGCGCTAGATAAGTGATTCCGCCAATGAGCGCTGTGGCTCAGGCGTGGAGGACAGGGTACGGATGTGGCTTGATGTGGATATGATGTCATACCGGACTGTGTTTGTGTGGGCGCTGAGGATGCGTGTAAGTCTATCCATGCCAAAACGGTGCTTGTCGAGGGCCTTCCGTCGGAGGGACGGCGCGGGAGGGATTTGCGGGCTGACGAAGGATGTGCTGGGATCCGACGTCAGTTTTGCTGTCAGAGGGCGCTTGGGAGGTTATCTTTTGCCTGTACGGTTGCTGGGTCGAGGTCTGGATTGTGATGGAACGGGGGATCACTGAGGGGAAATGACATATTCTGTCTCGAGGGGCGGTTATCACGGTTTTGGGGGCTCGTGTTGGATGATAAGGATGATGATGGTGCCTTGGTTGTGACTTGGGCTACTTTCCACTTCTGGTCTGTCTTGCTCGGGTTTCCTGTCACTTTCATAGTAACACCACAATCTGTCCATGCTTCTCAAATGCTGCTAGTCTTGGGACAGGTTTAACAAAGAGACCGCCTATTTTTCTCGTGCCATGCCGACTGTTTTGCCTTTGGCTATACTATACTTCGCCGCCGTCGTCGTCGTTATGGTTATCCTCGCCTGCGATAGAAGTAATTAAGTGCACAGGAAACATAGCTGCGCATACCAAAGGAAATTGGGCGGTGTTTTAGGAAAATGTCAGGCCGTAAGTAACGATGGGGGTGGTGTAGTGATGTCTGAATACTGCCTTCAGATTCATGCCAAAAGCCGCATTCATCAGTACGGCGGCGAGGGCCCACTGGGGTTTGTGACGGGATGTTGACAGTAGGTTGAGAGATACCGACGAAGTTACGTTTCAGCAAACATCGATGACCGCCGTGCTCCTCACTCTTTATCCAAATTGAGCCTTGATACAGGCTGGAGATTGACTGTACATGGCTCCAGACGAAAACTTGTCAACGCAGGGTAGCTCGACGGCCTTGATGTGCAATCCGCGGCTCTGAGCCAGCTACGACGTGCTCTTCAACGCATTCCCTTCACGGAGATGAAGCTTGATCATCTCAAGGTCCTCAGTCGAAAACCCGAGTGTCTTGGTCACGTAGCCCTCCCACCCGCCGTACGTCTCCTCCACCCCGGCGACGAAAGCGTCCCAGCAGGACGTCCGCAGGCTGCACATGTTGTAAAAGCCCGGGTGTTCATCATCGGCAGTGGTACCTGTGCCAACGCGGGCGTAGCGGAGTAGTCTCTCGCGAGCGGGCTCGGTGCCGATGCGTGAGAGCATGTAATCGAAACGAACATCATCGGGCGCAGTGCCGGCAATGGACTGCAAGATGCCGGCTAGCACGCCTGTGCGGTCTCGTCCCGCTGAGCTGGTGTCAGTCTACAGACCCTCAAAAGGGTAAACACGAGGAATGAGGCTTATTACCCGTGCAGTGGAATAAGAACGGCTCCCCAGGTCTATCTCGTATGTGCTCCAACGCGGCGTAGAAGGTTTGTCGGTAGATGTCCAGCACCTTGAGGTACTCCTTCCTCAACCCCGCCTTGCCGCCACCCTCAACGAACTCATCCAGGACGGGCGGCAGGTCGACGCTGGTGCTATCGAACCAGATGTTTTTGACGCCGTCGATTTGCGGGTCCGGAGCTCTCTCGCGTTCTTCAGGTGACCGGATGTCGAAGATGCGCTTCACGCTGGACGAGAGCCAGGCGAGGGCCTGCGGGTCTGTGGCGGCGAGCTCGAGCGTTCCGCAGCGGTACGCTAGACCGGAGAGGATGGCTGAGCCTGGTACGGCCCCGAGTTCGCGAACATTGATGAGCGAGGTCGACGGGATGAAAGGCGGCGAGGTCAGGGCTGGGAGGAGTTCCTCCGGCGGGATGGGACTGCGGACGTCTGTCTCGGAGAGACTGGCAAGCTGGTCTTTTGTCAGGGTCATGATGGCGTCTGTTGCGAGCAGTATGGAGCAAAGGCGACTTCAGCTGACGAGGCTGGTCAGTTTATCAAGTTCACAGTGCATCTTGAGACTGATACCAGGCTACAATGGCCCATGTTACTGTAAGCAGGAGCTCTGCTTACCCCCCACACGCTTGTGTAGACCAGCCAGAGTTGAGAGCGTGTCTTGGCACGCTGTGGAAGCAAGTACATAGTATTGTACTCGTCGGAATAGGCTTTTGGAAAAAGAAAGCCACATCACCAAAACTGCCTTTTTCCTGCTGCCAAGGTGCCACGCCGTTTGGTCGTGGAATGCACGATTGTCTCATATCGGTCATTAGACCAAGCCCAAAGCTGCCAAGATCAATCTGGGGAAATTAGAGTTGAATAAAACCAAAAGGTGTTCCTTCCAATGCACTTGCTGAAGAACAATAATCACAACTAGATACAGACAGGCGAGGGGTTTGATGAAAGAAGACGCCCAACATTATGAAGGAAAGGATGATAAAGATAGGATACAACGTCCAGTCAACAAGAACACACTCATTTGCGTTTGCCTTACCTGAAACCCCTGTTAGTGCGCTATTTATTGCCCCTCCACGCCACTTTTTGCTATTAATAATAACGCTACTAGTATTAGTTAACGCGCTTTTTAATATAATTTAGGCTTTTTAATACTATTTAGAGCGTAATATAGATATAATTTCGTAATATTAGAGTAAAATAATAATAATCTAAGTTTAACATAACTAATATAGTTATTAAAGTTAATAGTAATATATAAATATAAGAATATCCTCTTAAAACTAGAATTTCTACTAATAAGGTTAGTAATAAGAAAATCTTTTCTATTTATATTAATTCTTTAAAAAGAAAATTATAAAAGAAAATTTATATCATATTAATTTTAATTTAATTTAAAATGTATAACTTTAATAACGTAGCTATAATAAAAAGCTTTTAGCTAATTATAAAAAGGTAGCTAAATTTTCTATTAGCTTAAAAAAATAAAGTTAACTTAATTAAAAAGAATAATAGTAGTTTTAACTCTTAAAATAGAGTAAATATAAGAGGAAGAAGGTTTTATATTAATAATAATATATATAAATCTATAATTAAAGTTATTATCTAATAGTTTTAGCTATAAATAAGTTTTAAAAATAAATAATGTAATTTATTAGTTAATATTAAAAATAATAAATATTAATATTAATAAATTAAAAAGATATAATAGCTAGAAGTTAATAATATTAAAACTATTATTAAAGCTATTATTAAAACTATTATAAAGTTATTAATTAATCTTATTATTAAAAAAGATAGCCTATTTAATAAGTATTTTATTTTATTTTTATTATAACTATTATTATTATTACTATTTTTTATAAAACTTTAAGTTTATATAGAGATTAAAATTTCTAGAAATAATATTAAAATATAGCTAAATATTAAGATTAAAAATATTAAACAAAAAAACTATAAATAATTAAGCTAAATATATTATCTATAATATAATTAGAAACTCTTATTATAAATATATTTTATAATACTATAACTAATTACCTTTTTATATTTAACTCTGTTTAAATTATTTTTCTTTTTAGCTTAAATTATTAAGATATATTCTCTAAAGAGATATTTTATATTAAATACTAAACGTTTGATAATTAGAATTTATAACTATTTAAATATTAAAAATAGACTAATAATATTATTAAAAATAATAATAAAAAAGAATAAATTATTATAAATGAAAATTATTATTTTTGTTATATTAAAACTATTTAATCAATATATATTAGTCTTTATAAGCTATTATCATAAGTTTTAATAGTTATTTTTAGTGCTATTTAGTATAGATTTTATTTAAGTAACCTCTTTAGTTAGTAATATTATTTTAAAACTTTATTAAAACGTTTTTATAACTTAATATAACTCTATAAATTTTATATTAAGATAATAACTTTATTAAACTTATTTTTATTAAGCTTAATAATATTGATAAACTATTATATTAATAGAAGTAACAAAGCAATTTATTACTAACTAATAAGTTAAAATAGAAAAAAACTTAAGAAATATGTTAAGCGATTTAAGCTCTCTATAGGTATAAATTAGAAGTTAAATATTTTAATAATTATAATAATATTATTAGTAACTATTATATTAGTTATTTTTTTATTTTATT